GGTCAGAGGGAGAAGCAGACTCCCCGCCGAGCATGGAGCCCGATGCGGGACTCGATGCGGGACTCGATCCCGGGACTCCAGGATCATGACCTGAGCCGAAGGCAGCCGCTTAACCAACTGAGCCACCCAGGCGCCCTAAACTGGTTACTTTGAATCCTCAGGATGAGTTGTCAATTTTGTAAAGACCTCTAAACATGCCCTTCACATCTATTGTTATTGTTTAAGATTAGATTTGATATTAAAACTATAGTTCTATACATTCTATTATAAATAAGTAATCAGAAAAGATATTAGGTAAAAATTCATTGTGATTAGAAGCAGACCTCATTCAGTGCAAAGCTTGCTCCTACTTAACTAATCACTTTTCTGAGAAACAGCAGCATGTACAAAAACACTGACGAATAGCGAAAACAGTAAGTTTAGAATGACAGTACACTCTAACCTCAAACATGCCACTCCTTTGCTGAGACTTTGGACCAATCCCTTTAATTTTTTGAATTGCAACTTCCTTATTAGTGAAACGGTTAGCAACAGTACCTATATCCAAGTAATTCACAATATTGTTGCAAATTTTAAATTACAATAAATGTATATGATTTTGTGGGTGTGTTTTTAAATGATGATCTAATTAATTTGGTTATTCTTATCTTGTTACTTACGTGGGCATTTCTTGACACAAAATGCTCCATATGTATACTTTGCATTGAAGTTATGCTCCAGTTGAAAGGTGGTCGGATTGTAGACAAAAGTCTGGGGACACTGAGTAACACATGCTCCGCTGTCATTGAAATTCATGCAGGCCTACAACATAGCAAATATTAATTTCATTTAAGAATAGCCTTCATAATACTCGTTAAAGGAACCCTGCTCTAATACCTTTGTGAGAAGGATGTGTTCTTTACTTATTATATGTATATTTATATAAAACATATGTGTATGTTCTATTCTTATATTTCATAAAAAGTATAAAGCTTGACAGCTTTATAGTAAGTACTTATTTTTAAGTTCAAATTTGTTTTGAACGTCGAAAATTTTACAAAGCTGTTTTCCAATGTCAATGAATATACAATCTATACAAAGATATTGATATTCAAGTTACCTATTCTCTATCCAGTAATCTCCAAACTAATAATTGATCTAAATTATTAAAATTAGCTAATAGTGAAAAATTATTTCAACTCACAGTATTCAAAGGATTTATGTTGAGTCTTAGAGACTGGTACTAACAACTAACTCCCCAAGTCTACAGTCTAGACTTTTCTTAAAGCTGGTGTTTGGAAAAGTTCAGTGCCGTAGGTGACATGGTAAGCACATTCATCGCCGTTGTACAGCGAGAAAACATTGTGATAGCTATTTAAACTGGACTTGAATAAAAGGCTCTGGCAGGTGACTAGTCAAGTATAAATATGGAGTATGTAATGCCAAAATGAAGAGAAGCAGTCTATACTTAGCTCAGAATTAAATCATATGCTGCCATTTTCTATATGGTCTTTTTCATAATGCCACACCATTCAGTGAAAGCCATCAAGTTCAAACAAAACAATTTGTTTCTGCTGACTTATATATTTGTATTGAGACCTCAATTTGTTAATTTGTTCAAATGCATTTGAGAAGAATTAAAAACAATTTTACCACCTGAGAGGTATTTGGTATAAAAATAGAATGTATGTCTAAGTACATAAAGCATGACTTTCAAAAGAGTGGATGAACTAATTCTCTTAATTAAACAACTTAAACCTTCATAGGAATAATTGAGGCCTTGGAAAGTAAGCTAATACGCACTCAAGCTATATTTTATATTTCATCATAAATTGTATGTATGGTTATTAATAAGAACTAATTCATTCTGTTTCCTCAAAACATTTTCTTCATCAATTGTTGTTTTAGCAAGCACTTTATCACCAACATGACAATTCCCTGATGATGGTCTACTGGATGCATAATCAGAACGAGACTCACTCATGATACATTATTCACTAAGATGACATTTTCCAGGAAGAATCTATTAAAAAGCGATCTACAAAACTCAGTACGTTTTAATTTATGGCTATAAAACTTCATGTGTCCTCATAATTGCTTTACGAACATACTTTATGCAGGGTTGTGCACAGATTGCTTGGCAACAAAGGGACATAAACTAAAGGAATCAAACAAATTTACCTTCCAGACAGCATGCAAAACAACGTTACTTACACCAAGGCCTCGGTCTGGCATTCTTGAACATTCTGTACCAAATGCCAAAGTGGAGTCATTGGACCATCCCATAAAATAATGAAATGAGGATTTCGAGACTCACCCAGCACTCTGTTCATTATGATAATGGAACCATGAAAACAAATGCAATGAAGAACTTCTAAGTAAAAGTTATGGCTATTGTTGGTGTTTCTTGTTGTTACTGTTTTGGAATTGTTAACACCTGCTCAGCATCCTCTACATCAAGCTTTACCTCATGCCTGGTGATAGGCAAGGGAAAAGGTCTCACTTCAAGGCCTGCTAAATCATCTGCCTTAAATTTTTAACATGTTTCTTTTCTTCTTCACTACTCACTTCTGCAATGTATACTTTTGTTTCACTGTAGGATTAGGGTCAACAAATTAAGTTTCTTGTGACGTTAAGAAAACTAAGAAATTATCTATGTCATAAGAGTTTTAATTTATGTTTTGCTTATTTTCAGAGTTAAGTGTCAATTTGAAAAAATATTCAGTTCTAAATATATATGTGTATTCTCTGGATATCTGAAAATGGGAAAAAAGAAAATGAATTTCTGTGTTCATTTTTAACAGCAAAAACAATTTCTTATTTTATGATTTTTAGCTTAAAATGAAAATAATGTCTGTATATGAAATTGTGTTAACTATAGCTCACAGAACTGGTTGTATTCAAAAGAACAGAAAGAACTGTATTGGGGATATTAAAATGTAATTAAAACATGTTCCCAACGAGCTATAAACGTTAATTTTAAGAAAAGAAAAGTGTCCTTTTCTAAAATAAAAATCACACAGATTAGCATATAAATTGCTTTAAGCATACATTGGTAAATCTTATAAATTATGAATAATATTAACTTATAAACAAAATAAACTGGGAAATAGTTAAATTTATGAATAATCTTGAAATCTATGGCTATAACCTTAAAATTTAAATCCAAGAAATGAAATTCAAGAGCCCCCACTCAGAAAACTCAATTATGCAACAACATAAACAGGTAATCAATGTAAATTTTGGAAGGATGCTATTAGCTTTTAAAAAGATATCTCAATATGTTCCTCTTCACATTCTCTAATACATCTCATCTGTATTGTAAATGATATCAGAAAGACATAATTCATATACTAAAACAGAACAATCCTAGTCAACCAATAGCCACCCAGTGAGGGAATGAATTATAGGAAGGCAGAGCATCTTTCTTAATCCTAAAATGGTTAAACTTGATCTTATTTTAATGTTAAAGAGTCAATGTGCCTGAGTCCAGCCAGGAAGGAGGGAGATGGGAAAAGTAGAAAGGAAGCTCCAAGACTTACAAAGCAGTCTGTGTCCTTCGGTCCTGAGCAGCCCCCAGCACATTCTCTATGACAACAGTCACTGACATAGGGCCCATAGCACCTGCCATCACACTGTTCTGCACACACTGTCCTTGTCACTGTGGAAGACAGAGATGGAACCCTGATCAAAGTCAGTCACCAAGAGAAACTTCTAAGGTGCTTTGGAGTAGCTGAAAAAAGCTGAGCTCTCAGATAACAATACTCAACCCACCGTGGATTCAGTTCAGCTAACGTTTACCAAATGAAGTCTGCAACAGGTCAAAATCACTGTACAAAAACCTTCAAAATTAATACATACACTTGTTTTTATTTTCTTTCTTGTTCCAGCAAACACTTACAATGTTTTACAAAACAATCACACAACTTAGCAGGAAAGAATCAAATTTGAAATAATTGAATGAGGCATTTTGGCAGGTTGCAAAAGATGGAGTCGGCAGTAAAGTCTATCCACAAGGTGCACAGCAAGGTTTTATGACAGAAGATATCCCCGGAAATAATCTAAGCCTTTTAGAGTCAATGCAAAAAGGGAAACAAACTTTTACATGATTCACATTATATCTTACATGATTCATATCAAGCAGATAGATAAATATAGATAGAGATACAGATACATGTATAGATAACTGGTCAGGAGTAGCATAACTGTTTCTTTTCTTGAGATTTAAGTGAGATTTTTACCAAGTTTCCTGTGTAAGGAAGAGAGGAACATCCTCAAAAGAAGGAAAGAAGGAAGCGAGGGAGGAAGGGAGGGAGGGAGTGAGGGAGGGAGGGAGGGAGGGAGGATGGGACGTGGCAGAGAGAGACACATTCATAGTAGATGCAACACAAATTTCCATTGGTCTTTTCTTATAATGTCCTTTGATCCAAGCTGACAGCACTATATTAGGGTATGCTTTAGTAAAAGTCGGTGCTAGAGGCTGGGCATCAAAATTACACCTTTGAGGGACACTTATTCCACTTATTCCAAAGAGATATTTTTAAAGCATTTAGAGAAATGAATGTTACAGAAGATGTATAGCACATCACATCTTGGCTTCTGTATTTCCACTTCAGTCTGATCTCCTTCCATCTTTTGGACTCGTTCTTCAAATCTTCCTTCATGGCTACTATAGCAGCATCTGTCCTTCAAACGACAGCATTCCCCAGAGTTGGTCTTGTCAATTTCTTTGGGTTATGGGCTCGTGCCTAGATGAAATCATCCATCCCCTTTGCATACTACCTATAGGTAGATGACATCAGATCCAAATCTGAATTTTGTATTGAGCAGAGGCATGTATTACCAGCTGCCTACAGAAGACCCCACTTAGATATCCCAAGATGTATAATAAGGAACGTAATTCACTTTCCCATCTCTACCAATCAGGCATATCTCTCTTCTTTGTTCCCTTCTCTTGGTTATTGGTAGCACCATCCACTCAGTAGCTTAGCTAAAGATTGGGGACGTGTTTTCTCTTTCTCCTTTCCCCTCACCCTCGCTTCTCATACCTAATAAAATTATCAAATAAAATTGCCAAGTAATATTCCTCATTACCGTCCCACCCCTCTACTCCAACTTTGTTTGGGAAAGTAATGTCTAAATGATGACATAACCTTCTAATTTCTCAGATCCCAATTAATCTTCCATGCTGCTCTAAAAGCAATGACTTGAAAATACAAGCCACCGCCTATAAATCAGTGCTGTTTTGCAAATAAAACTTGTCATCCCTGTACTAAAGGAGTAAACCCTGAGCAAGGGATAAAAGTCCTTCATCAATTAAACCATCTCTATCTTTACTAGCATTTCTCATTGTGCTTCTCACATCCAACAACACACAATCACCACTTGTGATTCCTGATTTCTTGTATCATTTCCAATTTTGATTCTCATTGCCTTTTTATAATGCTTTCCTCCATGCTAAAAACCCTTCCTGTCTTCTTTGCCTAGCAAATACTCATCTATAAGATCCAGTTCAGATGTCACTTTCTTTCTGAAAACTCCAGATATAGCTCTAGGATGAGTTAGTTTATCACTGTTTCTTCTGAACAAGGGAGAAAGTTAATGCAGATTCCACGTGGTCTGAAGGTCTAGGCTCAAACCCAAACTCTATTCTTGTGATATGGGCAAGTTATTGAATATCTCTGTATTTCACTTTACCAGCTTTAAGATGGATTTGGTATTAGTACCTATCTAATGGGACTGAAGATAAACAGAGGTATAGGTATAAAGTGCTTAACATGGCCCCTGTTAATAGTGGTCAGTAACTGTTGCATATTACTATTTCACTTATCATAATACATTGTATCTTTTTTTTTTTT